GTACGACCAAAAACCCTCAAGGGTTAATACATAAGAATCCATTCACTTCATAAAAATATATTACGGAAAGGGCTGATTTATTCTTGAATTGGTCCATTTCTTAAAAGTTAGACATTATAGAAGTGTTCAGCTTCATAAGTTGCAATTCATTTTTTTTCTAAAAATTAGCTTTTCTTATGTTTATGTAGATTTCCTTATATTCAGATGCTTATGATTATGGAGAGCCATAGGCAGATGTTATAATAAACAGGTATATAATAAAGTGGGAGGGCAAAACAGAAATTTGAATAGCAACTCATTTGTAATTGTTATCCAGGAAATTTACTGAAGAATGTACAAATAGCTTACTTTAAGTAAAATTCTGCTGATTGCAAATAATGCTTTTACTGGTTTCCATATCTAGTGTTACTGGTTCTTAGTTCCCTATTATCTCTTTTTCAGGCCAAAGCTTGGGGTTTGACCCAAGGTAGGTGGCCAAAGAAGAGTGCCCGCTTTCTTCTAGATTTACTGAAGAATGCAGAGAGCAATGCTCAGTACAAGGTAAATGTTAATAACTTTTTTTTGTTTTGCTTGTGGATTTGAGAATTTTTATTAAGACTTTTTCTAGTCACTTTCAGTGTGAAACTGTTCAAATCATCTACACTTTGCTAGTGTGTCATCCATTGTATCAATTGATACCAAGAAATGGCCAATTAAACCATGTAAACTGTTCCTTGTACCCATGGCGAGCCTGTTTTTCACAGGGTATACAGTAGGGCCACACTATACAGCTGACCCCACCTGACTTTCTAATGCGGTCACCGCGGGCCACTCGGTTTGTTTACATTCTACATGAGGACTTCTCTCCATTATATATGGAAGCTTTCCAAAATTTCAAGTGTTTTAAGGTTATTTTATATATACTCTTATAATTATACTTGTGTTCCTGTACGTAAATGAACTTACACACTGTGCTGGTGTGCAGGTACATGTTAAAATTACTAAGTGTGTCTTATTAGATGCCATATTAATAATGATGATAACACTAATAATCACTGAGGCACATAAAATGTTGTACATTACGTTAATGCAGCCTCTCCTCGCTTAATGACAGCGTTCTGTTCCAAAGACCACGCCGGTAAACAAATTCATCGCTAAGTGAGGAGCATACTATAATGGTAGTGGGTTTGTGTCGACTATCTTTGATACTGTTTTAATGTCACCTTTGCATCATTTGTAACATTTCTGGTATATTTTTAAATTGTTTATACAGTAGTGTACTGTATATTGTAATAAACAGAATAGAGGAAATCAGCTCTAATATACATTATTTAGGTATGCATGCTGGTCAGAGAGCTTGTCGTAAGTCTGAGGCATCGGTAAACGAGTACATCGCTAAGTGAGGAGAGGCTGTATGGAAATTTTGATTAATCCATTAATCACCCTGCCTCGGTGGGAGACGGCCAACTTGTTGAAAAAAAAAAGAGAAAAAATTTTTTTTTTTTTACCAAAATTGCATGAGCAATGCTACGTAAGATATAAACATAAGTACACCCCACAGTAAAATAAATTAACACAAATGAGATGTTTTTCCAGTCTTGACGGAAAGTAACGTTTTCTATAGTTCAACGCCAATGAAAATATGTACACTATAATATTACTGGGAGTAACTGTAGACAATTATTCATTTCAAATGCTTTCACTCAGAGGGTCAATCCTTTTAAAAAATGGTGTTACATGAGAATGAAAGTGTTGCTCTTTATTTATTCTACTGTGCCAATGTGGAGACAACTTGTAAATTATGTAAGGTGTTATAAGTGTATTTTTGAGGGTCTGAAATGAACTAATCTAATTTACATTATTACTGTCTGGAACGAAGAAAGTTCGATATTTGAGGTTCCATTGTATATTACGCGTGGGTGGGGTGGCCAGGAGGACTACCATACGTACCACACCTGACTTCTTAAATACTACTAACCTCTCGCCCTACATTAAGACTATAAATATTTTAAGGTAAATAATGAGTGTGTATTTGACTTTTTATTGATTTTTTAATGCCTAGTTCTATTGCTAACTTAATATATGTTAGTGTAAACTTACCTATCATTTATAAGTGGAAAAAATTGGCGTTCTCTTTTCCGGCGATGTCTGCTTTCCAGCGGTAGCCTGGAACCTAACCTGTCATGTAAGTGGGGCCCTACTGTATTTTACAAGTCTATATCTCATTCACACATCTCTCAAGCACTTTCCACATACTGTGGTCCCTCGAATTATGATGGTCTTGGGGCAGTGTCTGAGTCAATGTTAGCGTTAGTGGAGAGGGGACTGGAGGATGGCTTAGCCAGTCAGTGTTATAAATGTGTGTGAGGTAGCATCCAAGCCAATAGAAGTGTTTGTACTACATTTTCTTTTCTCCTTAACTTGAAGCTACCCAGCATGTTGCCTGCACTAACTCTTTATTGTTTACCCTTTCTGTTATTTACCTTTCATAGCAGCATTTGATTGAACTATGTCCTCTTTGGTGTTTACAAGTGATCATGGCCCCCTGAAGTGCCTAAACTAGCAATATCCCTGAAGATCCACACGAGGGATTCGGGTTAGGTTACGTGTGGGTACAGTACTTGCTTGCCTCTAGTAATGGTTATACAGTACTTGTATGGAGTAGGATGAATGTTGACCCTTTCATTGTCCTCTTCTTCTCCCCCCCCATTTCTCCACCATCTCTTACAAAATGGTAGAGAATCTTTTTGTGAAGGTAATAAAACAAAAATTACTAAGATTAATGGAAAATTTACAAAATAATGCTTTCACGAATTTTACTGTCAGCGATATTTACGCATCGGCTATTTTGCCTACATTGAGTCCTATTTTAGGCCAATTACATTGTTCCAGTCAACCAAATTCTTAGCTATTTCACTAGTATCTTTTCCATTTTATCGACTGAGCACAAGAAATCATGCAATCAGCTATTTCAACTACCCAGTAAAGTGATCGGAAATTGGTAATTTGGCCAATTTCACACAAATTTCAAAATATTCCAATTTCAAAGTAGTTTAGAATAAACAATTTAGGCATTCCTGGCACTAAAATAACATTTCCTCTGTTCATTAGTTATGTTCCCAAGCTTTACACATGAATTTCATTTTGATTTTTGATTCACACTATTGTAATTGTATAAATAATACAGTAAGGCCCCACTTATGACAGGTTAGGTTCCAGGCTACCACCAGAAACTGGACATCGTTGGAAAGCACAACATTTTTTTCAATTTGTAAATACATATAAATGTCACATAACAAGTTTACAATAATATACATGAAGTTAGCAATAGAACTAGGCATTAAAATGCAATAAAAATTAAAATGCACACACAGTACATTCATTATTTGCCTCAGAATATTTGTAGTCTTAACCCCTTCAGGGTCCAAGGCCAAAATCTGAAGTGGTGCTCCAGTGTCCAAGAAATTTTGAAAAAAAAAAAAAAAAAAAAAAGATTTTTTCTTACAGAATTAAAGAGCATATTTTTGTGAAGGTAATAAGACAAAAAAAAAATTCTGATCAGTACTTACCGAGATACAGTGCCAAGAAGTTTGTCAAAAATGATGTGGTGGCAGCAACATCGACGAATTCCACATACGTGCATTACATTATTTTGCAGTTTTTGTTGTTTTTTCTTTTCTTTTCCAATTTTTTTCTATTCCTACTAACATTTGGGGCCTGAGAGACCAATACTGTATATAATGTATATATATAAATTCACTGTATTGAACACAATAACCGCACTAAAGTTATTATCATATTATTGTTTACCACTGTTGTTTATTACAATAAACATGCACAAATCTTGTATAATACTAATGTTCTATCATATATTTACATATTTACAATCACTGGACATGGTTTTGTGGAAGCTTGTGGAACTCCTTGAAACAAGGCACCATGCACAGAGGCACCTTACATTCCTCACACATAAACCGAGTGTCTTTGCGTCTTTGTTGCTGTCGTTTTGTTTGTGCACAGACGATGCATCTCTTCTGAGCAAATTTCTTCTGAGTTGAAGGAAGTTGTATTATGAAATGATCACCTTCCCTCCTCAAACGCTTGGGTATATCCTGAGGAATTCGAGGACCGTGTTGTATAGCAGGTGTTCTTACCTGGTACTTCATTATGAGTTGTCTGACAACAGACAAGCAAAATTCACCATACGGTGGTCTGTTACCAGTCTTTATTTGGTACATATATGCATTGAGCATAGAAATGTCCATGAGATGGAAGAAAAGTTTCATGTACTACTTGTAACTCTTACGAACACAGTCAACAAAACCAATCTGCATGTCACATTTGTCAACCAAGTGCATGTTTTGTGTATAATCAATCATTGTCACTGGTTTTCGAATACGTTCATTAGTCACTCGATCAACTCTGCCACTGTCTTGCATTTCATTACGGTGAATGGTTGTTAACAATGTGACATCTCGTTTGTCATGCCACCGTAATGCCATGATGTCATTGGCAGTAAACACCTGCACGTCATCACCACGAGCACCTGCATTGAGCCTGGGCATATGTTTACGATTAGAACGCACTGTGCCACACACATCTGTCTTGTTCACTCGCATGAAATCACTGAGTAATGGGCTTGTGTACCAGTTATCGGTATATAATGTATGCCCCTTACCAAGATAAGGTGCCATCATGTTTCTCACTACGTCACCTGAGATACCCAATAACATCTTGGTATCTTTCAATGTTTTACTACCCGTGTATACAACAATATCCAACACCAGGCCACTGTCACAATCACAGAGTACAAACAGTTTTATACCAAAGCGTTTCCTCTTGCTCGGTATATACTGCTTGAATGACAGTCTACCTTTGAACAAAATCAAAGACTCGTTAATTACAAGATTCTTGAATGGATAAAAGTATATGCTGAACTTTTGTTTGAGATACATGAAAACATTTCTAATCTTGTATAACCTGTCACTTCTGTCAGGCCTGGTTTTGTCAGAGAAGTGCAACATACGTAAGAGTAAGATGAACCTGTTCACTTGTATGATTTCACTGAAGACCGGGGTAGAAATTAGCCAATCTGTGGACCAGTATGCTTTTATATTATGCTTATAGACGTGAGGCATAAGCATTATTGTTGCAAAAAGCAAATACATTTCTGCAACAGTCGTCTCTTTCCACCTGTGTAGTCTTGACTGTGGTGATAAGATCGTATTTGCCATGGTGTACTCAAAATACTTATTACTTTCCCTGACAATAATTTCCATCAATGGCTGGTCAAAGAGTAATTCAAAGAATTCCAGTTCATTGGCCGTGGTTCCAAGGGGACAAGTAGGTAGAATTCCACTTTGAGAGTCATCAAAGTGGTGAGGCTTGGGAACAAAATTGGGGTTTTGCTGCCAATCCCACATACGGTTTGCTGTTAGATACTGGACATCATAGGCTGGTTGTGCGGGTGGTTGTGGTGGGCTGGTGACTGGCGCTCCGCTTTGTCCTTGAACTGACGAGTCAGCAGCGTGGGTCCCAGCGTGGCCTGGTGAGTCACGCAT